AATAAAATGTACGATAAATCAATACCCAAGGTATTATTTTTTCCTTTAAACCAAACAGTCCGATGACAAAAAATCTTACTATAAAGAGTTTATCTATGTCAAATACGGTGATGATATTATAAATAAGGAAGTCAACAAAAAAATAACATAGCATTGTAAATAAAAACGTCAATTCTATCAACAAGTAGAATGTATAAGGCTGCAACACGTTCACCTTGAATTGCATATTCGTTATACAATTTGAATGCTTTTTACTCGTCTCTACTATTACTTTAATACGTGGATCAGATTGATTTATGTGATCAATTAATGATTGCGGTACTTTCAACTGAGATAGTACTCCTTTACTCAGTATAATAATATTTGGTTTATAACTGAGTAGTTCATCAACATCCTGTTTCTGAATCCCTGCAAAATGACCAGTGCCAGATTCGTTCCAATCCCATGCACGACTACCATTTGGCCACAGTTTTGCATCTCGGTATGTGATTAACTTGTTTGGATTGATTGTTCCATCTTCAGATATTGTTTCCACTGTAACGGAACCCCATGACATATTTTTAATGAGTGGTGAACACTGAGACATTGGACAAAGATATTTACTAGGTCGTGTAACAGTTAACTACGGAAAAAAACAAAGTGAAATGCATGTATATTAGATGGTAGTAATACACAGCATACGCGACTTGGAACACAATTTGTAATGTATATGAATATTCGTCAATATTAGAACGAATAGTGTGACGGAAACTGGGCACTGAGTATAGAGAAGTCATTATATTTGAAATAATCTCAGCGATTGAAATTTAAATTCTCCCAGAAAACTTGTCTGGACTTCAGAGTAATAATCGAAATTTGTAATGTATAACAATATTCATAATCTGATATGAAGCTGTGTAACGCGGGTTCGAGTCACACAAAGAGCATCGCTTCTGTCAATATTATAGCTATACCTTGCTAACGAGTGCCAACAAGCACGAAAACTGAATCCACGATTCCTTGATGACTCACGAGAATTTTATCACTCATGATAGGTTGATGTTTTATCCAATACTCGGTAAAATGGAACAATTGAAACGACAGAATAATTGTCTACAACATATCAGATACGTCTAAATGATAAGTGATAAATAAGACAACATGGAAAATATAATAAGATGTTGGTTTCAAATTTTGGACCACACAATCGAACTTTAGTAATCTGGCCTTGAAGAAATCTAATATCCTCAAACTTCATTTGCTCGATTTTAGCAATCTAATTACTGTCATGGATGAGGTAATAAAGAACAAAAAAATTGTATCGGAACCCAAGTCACCAGTTTGTGAATGCATTATTTACCGGATCACATGAGCAGTGTTCTACCGATTCGCATCACTGTTCTACTCACCAATAATGAAAACAAGGGAATTACCGTGTAGAGCTGGCAAAACAGACAACTACCCTTGATAAATCCAAGTATTAACAGTTTATTTATCACATGAGAAAACAAGTAACAACACTAAATTATAAGCTACGACATTTTTGTACCATTACCCTGATCTTAAACCTGTGTTAGGTAGATCGCCTTAAGATTTGAAATGTGACCCAACGATGGCAAATATAGTGTGTATATAATTGAATTCTACCTGGAAATCCATCGAATTTGTTACTGAACGTGCATTGATTAAATAACCATGAAAAATCAGAATGAAACTATTGTTCGATACGTTTCAACTGGTATAAGTTAATGATGAAAGCTACTGTCAAATTATAAATTACTGTCAAGTTCAATACTAATAACAGTAAGAAAACATTGACTTTCATATGAAAAGATCGAAGTTTCAATTACTTTGTAAAATCTAATGTAAACAGCTGACGCAAATAAAGCAAAACCACCGACAACTAGAAATAAGTACTAAAAATAAAAAAGAGTAAAAAAGGAATTATGTTATTGTCATTACTATTTTAATGAGCCATAAGTTTTAAATGTTGAGCAAAACTCCTATACTACTGATAATTAACACGTCTGAATATCAGTACGTTAGTAATAACATATAAGTGAGCAAGTCTGAAAATAGTTAGCACTTGTGAAATTCTAAACTAAATACCTTTTTAAGAATATAATTAACATTCTACGAAAAGATGAAATTTTCAGGACTAAGATAATTTACTAAAAACAAAACAGAAATCACTCAGCAGACAGCTATGATATAAAATCATATGATCTTAGGGCTATATCGCAGACTGATTGAAGTTAGAAATGTGGATTATTGGATCCTGACCCAGTGGACAGTGAAACTAGGAAGTTCATGTATCGATGCTGACACAATGTTGTAAGTTTGGATTTTTGGGAATTCAGAAAATATTATACCACAGTAGTTGGATCTTCACATTGATTTTCAAAACCTCTTTAGATGATATTACTTTTTGAAAACCAACTTCGAAATGCCCACTAGACTATTTAAAAAGTTGCCTTGATTGCGTAAGGCAAGAGACATATCAAACTACAGCATATTCAAATGATTTTATTTACTTAAGTACTAATTGAAGAAGTCAGATATAACATGACCTTTACATAAAACTTTTGCAAGTTAGACAATAACACAGTCGGATACCAGTTCAGTGGTCTAGAGGTTAGGCATTCGCGCACAAGACGAAAGGTCTTGAGTTCGATTCCCGCATGGGGGTCACAAATGAGTACCACCGAGGAACCACATGCTGGGACGAAACGGTTGTTCAATGTTTCCAGATTTTCAATGGTGTTCAAGCTAAGATCAGTCCGTGATTACAACTGTGAAAGTAAATTTTATCTAGAAAAAAATCCATCTTATGAAAGTATCATATACTAAAAAGTCTTAGTCTTTTCGTATTCACCACTCTTATTCATCATTCTACGTCAGTTTGAAAACACACTAAAATAGTTTGACTTCAATATAATCACAGACAGTATCAAAACACTACGAACCATTATCAGTATCATTATCAGTATAAGGTTGTGGAGATTGTTCCGTTTCAATTGAGATCATGAACCAGTTAATGTTTGGTCCCGCACGCGGGATCGTGGATGCACACTGTTGAATAGTCCCATACTAAGGTGAAACAGCCGTCCAGTGCTTCAATAGTGGTCTAACATTGATCAGTTCATGATCTTAATTGAAAATCCTACTATGTAATATTAGTTGAATCTCTCTCCAAATAAGTGCTTAAATCTAAATTAATAAACTTCTGTTAGTTTATATGAATGGTATCAAGCTATCCACACAATGTTCAGTATCATAATTTGCTAACTCATCGCAATGATATGAAGTGATTAGTGCATGCATGAACTAGGGTGGAGACTGATGAAACTATATGTCATTGGCTGTAGGAAAATTATTCTTATATGACTATTGAGAAAAAAAACTTATTCGAAAAGAAAACCCACTTCTCAAGATAATATTTAGATGGCGTAAAATGAGAAGATAAACAAGTTGAGAATTAAAACTTTGAAGCAATACAGATGAAAATATAAGTAAAACATAAAAAGAATCACAGCACTCACACATCTACTGATCATATATACGAAAATCAATTATCCCCGAGTTTGTTTGATAGAATTATAAAAGCTGTTGTCTATCATCACACAAGAAAAGCTTAAATTTTGTTGTGACTACAGGTTCAATAAGACGGGATATTCATAGACTATCCTATTCTATAGACTACTGCTACGAAGGTTTCTTTAGAGCAAACCACTGTGAATAGATCTCAAATAAAGATGAGCATGTACACTTACCGTTTGCCTTTGTTAGACTACGAATTTTTAAATACACAGAAAAAACATCCAAAAAAAAATCTCGAACAATAAGTAGAAAACTGATTTATTATTTACAATATTTACAAATACAAAAACTACGCTTTTATAATAATATGATATTACGTTCCTTTTTCCAAAATAATTTAAAACACTAGTTAGTTCGTGTAAAAGCAATCAAATGACCAATTTTATTATCTAATTCACTGTCATTAAATTGAACACGATTTGATTCATCAATTAAATAACTTATAAACTGTGATGATAAGTAGTCTGAAGGTGGTATTAATTTGACAGTCCAACTATAAGTTTGCTCCATTCGATAAGCCAAATTAATAAAATTATGCAAACTATTACCACGTAAAGGTGAAATAGCTAGAAATGTTGATCCAGATTGTAAAGACAGTAGTCTATTGATTGTATTTAACATACTGAGGTGGTAGGATTGGTCAAAGAAACAATCAGCTGCTATAATTAAATCAAATCGATGAACTAACGATTCATCTAGCTCAGCAATCAATGACGATGATGACCGTGAAGACTGGAAAATAAAATCAGGTCAGTAATTGAAGAGTAATAATAAAACAAATATAGTAAGATAGAAACGTGACCAAGCAATTAGTATACAAGAAAAAAAATCGTATATAAGATAACAGATATTTCGACTACGAAACTACTTCAGTTGAAAGTTAGTAATTCGAAAATCTTCTTGCTATCCAACATCTGGTCATTTATACTTCGTACAAGCAAATATAAGCTCTGGTTTTCAAATATTCCACACTAAGTACAACAACTCCGTCTATCTCTGCATATGGTCAGCAACCCCATCCCGTAGAAAACAACCCTGCTAAGAATACGCTAACCAGAATAAACGATGTAAACCATTTAAACTCTGCCCTCCGAATTAAAGGACCATAATTCAGAAGAATTATGGCGCCTCTTGGTGAAAGTTCAGATTTTTCGAAAATCACGATGCCGATGGCCCGTCTAACAACCAGAGCAACAATTATTATAGGTACATGGAATGTTCAGACAATGTAGAAGACTGAGAGGACTGATCAAATAGCTACAGATATGAGATACAATTTGGCGGTTCTCGGAATCAGTGAAATCCACCAGACCTAAGCTGGACAGAAAAGTTTAGATTCGGAAGATGCTGCTGTATTCCAGTCACAGAGAAGAAAATGTTCCACACACTCAGAGAGTTGCTCTGATGCTGTCCAAAAAAGCTTAAGATGCACTTATAGGATAGGAATCTTACAAAACCAGAAACATCAAATAATCCTGCAAAAAAAGAAGGAAGGAATCACAATGAAAGTTATCCAATGTTGTGCACCCACCAATGATAGCACAATAAAGATCAGTTCTATGAGAAGCTGCA